GGTAACAGTGTACATGCCATATTCCAATGGTTAAGGTGTATGAAAAGTATGCATATATATTAGGAATTCTTTTTACAATCCTTGTATTATGAAGTAAGTGGCATATTGATAAGAAAAAAGGTATACATGTTAATTCCAGGAATAAGCACCATAATATTGATTTGGAGGATTGTATTCCAATAATTTCAGATGCATAAACATGTGGGAGGGTTATCACACTCCCATAGCAAAGTGATGGCAAAAATAGGATGAAAAGAAAGACAAGAAATACCACAGGACTGTAGCATCATAGGAAAGAAACAATCCTCAAAACCTCTGCTCTTCAGTGTAGGCATTTAGTCTGATCCATGGTGACCATTTTTGTGTGCTTTGTAGTACTTCTGCTCCAGTTAAGGGCATTACTCATAGTGTCAATAGCTATGTGGAAGAGCAGCATACAGTAGCAGTAAGAGGACTGGAGGAGTCTTGCCACCTTTCTGAAGTTTAAATTCCTGGATAACTGCCTGCTTTATAATACTGTGTCAACGAATGGATGCCTCTGTCACTCTGAAAAGGAAATAATTAATTATACATGTAGAACTGCTCTACTCCATTATTTAAGTGAAGCAGCAATCAAGATCAGAAATGTAGAGTGCCCATGATTGTAATAAGGCTTTATTGCAAGACACTGCAAAAATTTCCTAAGATAAGTAACCCACAAACCTCAGTTATCTCCAAAGATCAGGGAACTGTTCCTGTCATTCCAGAAAGGAATCCCTATTTGTTTCTCCTGTTCACTTACTTACAGAGATTAGAGGATGGTACATTAATGGAGTTACAAAATACCCCACTTTGCTAACCATGACCATTGTTCATTCTGTGAGCAGGTTTGGGCGATTTCCTAAGATAAGTAACCCACAAACCTCAGTTATCTCCAAAGATCAGGGAACTGTTCCTGTCATTCCAGAAAGGAATCCCTATTTGTTTCTCCTGTTCACTTACTTACAGAGATTAGAGGATGGTACATTAATGGAGTTACAAAATACCCCACTTTGCTAACCATGACCATTGTTCATTCTGTGAGCAGGTTTGGGCGGGGGTACTAGAAACACAACAAGTACTTCATGATAAACATGAATAGCCACTGGAAAACCCTACCAAATTAAATTATGATGTATTTCCTCTCTCTCGAATCCTTCAGATGAAAGCTGGGTGGCTTAGTGAAGAGATGCTTGAGTCCTAGAATTTGTTTTAAATACTGGAGGAACTGACCAAAATTTTGTGACTTGCCCGTTGCAACTTAGGCTAATGGCAGGTTTTCGTCTTGGACGTTGAGATGCTTAACTTACCTCCGCAGAAGGAAATATGTCTGTAAGTCTTACAGCCATTCACTGACTGAAATGTCAGGTAGCACTAGCTTAGGTGTGGTGCCACAAGAATAGATCTGTACAGCTTTTGGACTTAGTGTCTTAATGTGCCTGTATGAATTTGCAAACATGTATCTGTGGTAAACATAGGGTGTCTGCACTGTGCCACACACTGTAGGCATTCTTTCCATGAGTTAATGATCTTTATTGGCCTTAAAGACAATGTATTTACATGTGAAAGACTAAGAACTCAGCGAAAGAATGAGGCAAGATTTTTCTGCACTGGTGAAATCAACACTGGTCATGAGAAAATTCAAACAGATCATAAGCATAAGTTTTTGATGAGCAGTGTTGTAAGTGAAATAATTTCAAGATTGGGCAGTGCATAGGAAGTCCAACAAGTACTTCCGAATTGGGAGAGAGAGGGGGCTGATTGAAACAAGAGCTCTTTGGAGCAAGAGATGGAAATAAATTGTATGTTAGAGCCAAGGATTTCTTACCTATTTAAATGAGAGAAATTTAAATGTATTTAAAAGAGAAAATACAAAGAAATAAGTAGGGAGGACAGGGCACCAGATCTAATCTAAAGCTTGAGGAGACAGCTGGGCTGACATTTTATTTCTGTGCAGCAGAAAAACATAATTAATATAATTATTCTAGGACTTCAGTAAAATCTGAACAGGTTAGGATCACAGTTATGTGCTTTTGAAGTAAAAATGTGTCTCGAGGAACTGACTGTAATGACTTCATTTCTCCTTGTCTACCTTGACACTAGAAAATAACTGATAAAGCCTATTTTAGGATATTAGTTGTTAAAAATATTTAGCTATTAATTACTTTTTTTTTTTTTTTCTGGATGTCTGTAGTTTTGTTCTGGCTTTTTAAGATTTGGTAGTAATTTTACAGTACTGTTTTCAGAGCCAGATACTGTATTTTGTATCCATCAGCATAATTGCACTGACTTGAATGGAGTGACAGTGATTTACATAACCTGTTGACTTAGTCTCATTTTACCTTGAAAGCTTATCATCAATGAAATGGTAGAAGAGAAGAAGATGCCGAAAAATTATTTAATGAAATTTTCTCTGTGTGAAAAGTTATATAATAATTTTGTTTGTATAGCATCAGTAAAGCCAAATATCAGGTCCCTGATCTAGAGGAATTCTCATCTGAAGACACAGCAAATTCAGTTCTGTGCAAAGCCAGTGGAGAATCTAGCTGGACTGCTGGCAGCAGCAAAGTGAATAGGAGTAGCCTTTTGTCTTCAATTGATCAGGGTGGTGCTTCCTTTTCTAGATTCTTAAAATGTCAATGAGACTGTTTTGTGGGGTAGAGTTTTGTGGGCTAGAGAGAAAGTAAATAAGCTGAGTATCAGTCTCAGGTATTTCTCCATGGTTTGAAAAGATCTAAGTGGTACGATTTACACTTCTAAAATACAATGAAACACAAACTTACTGCCTCGTAGTCAAAGGTCTTCTTACTGAAAGCTTATGTTTCTTTGCTATAACTAGAACTTGGTAGACAATTATATGTCTGCCTAAGTACACTGATGTGTACTTAGCAGTAATAGGCATTTAATTACTGCTCAGTTTATTTGAAGAGTTAGGGTGTATACTGATTTCTTCAGCTTTTTGTAGGCTATCACGTGACTTTTTTTTCCCTGTTAACTGGAGTATTACTGAACTGTAGCAAAATGAGAACCAAGGAAGGATTTATTTTCTCTGTAAAACCAGTTGGATTTTAGCGGGGTTTATTTTATCCAAAGACAAATGCTTCATTAAAAAAAACCCACAAAATCTCTCCCTTCTGTTTTATACTGACAATTTTTTATTGGTGATAATAATTTTTTAAAATATATGCAACATTAAGCTCTAACTTTGCAAAACACTGTTTTTACACTGAACTTCTCTCAGGTATTCTCTGAAATTTGTAGCTGTTCAAAGTCAAGACATATGTGTTTCTAAATGATAAAATAGAGAAGATGCCACCTCTTTAAAATAATTTTTCTGATGAATATCTATGTTATTGAAACAAACAATTTTAAGAATTAAAATGCTTTTTCCTACCATAATTCACGTTTTTTTCAAAACAAAGTCAAAAGTCAGACTTAACAGGTAATTTATGTACGGGTCTGAGACTTTATGTGTGTTCTTTTCTCGAGCTTATTTGAAATGTTCATATTACCAGAAACTTCTGGTAATTTACAGTGCGCCTAAGTAGAGTGCTGTCCTCCAAATAGGGAGATTAAAAAGATTAATGTCATTTCAATAAAGACAAGAGCTAACACAAAAGGGGAAGTGGAAGGAATGAGTAAAGAAAGGAGAAATAAAGACGGAACTTTTGGCTTTGCCACTTCTTCAAGTAATCCTTGGATACATTTGCATGATGAGGCTTGCAGGCAGACACAAGTTCATTCTACCTGCAATTTGGAAGAAGCTGTATATGAGCTTTCTCCTAAATGGAAGTTACATAGGAGTGCTAAGCCTGCAGAACATACACCTGAGTTTTAATCTAAATTGGTAGTACTTTTTAAAATGTTCTGGACAGTTTTATGACCATGATCAGTGTTTTAAGCTTTTTTCATCAGTATATTGCTCAGATCAAATTTTATGATAAATAATAAGTTTCTAGCCAATGGTCACCAAAACAGTTCGTTCATCCCCAATATAATACTCCAGAAACATAAATGTGCCCTAAACTTTTTCAAAGAATGAGGTTTCTTTACTAGAATAAGGATAGCTGTCTAAGTAATTGACCTGACTTATTTCTGCAGATGGGTACTTTACTGTGTAATACATGAGTGTGCTTCATGTAACACAGCTAATTCTGAGCTCCAAGCAGGCATTCTGCTGCTGTGCTAGCCCACAGTAGAGTATGAAGGATAAGTGATACAATCATATTGAGACTAAATAAATTTTCTGCTTATGTCAATTTTTTATTACCGTTTGAAAATTAGTTTAAATATCATTTAAAAAATGAATGCAAATAAAATTAAACACTTCTCTAGTATCGTGAGTTCTCCAGTATTGTAAGTCATTGAATTTACATGACAGATTTATTAAGCTTTCTTAGTCCAGCCTTGGAATTGGTATACACAGTCCTATTGAGATGTTGTAGGAAATGTAAAGATGATTATGGATAGTATTTTGTGTTCCTGCGTCAGGTGTGTTATTGCATCTTTTAGTAGATAAGCTTACAAATGCATGGTTCTTGCTTTTTTCAGGCTATTAAAAAGCGGAGCACAGAAACCAAAGTTGCTGTAATAAGAATCAACCATGTAATCTGAATTAAATGCACATACTCTATTAACATGTGTCAAAGCATTATATTTATATCTTAAAATCAAAATAGACAGTGATATAAATTAATATCTGTGAATTCTTGTTTTCCATTTCAGGTCAAGAAATGGAGAACAGAATTTCAGTTTCCATTTCCAAAAATGTTATGATGAATACTTGAATTACTCTGTCATGTGTTGGTTATAAATAGTGGTTTAAAATCGTTGTATAAAAAGCCATGAGTGATTTTACATTTCCCTGTATTTATTGTGTGTGTGTCTGTTTTTAAGACATTTCAAGTCTTCAGGTGTTTTCTGAGTTAACGATATCCTATGTATTACTTGTTAGATCTGACAGGATTCATGTTCTCTTTCAGGAGACGCTGATAGATTGGTGTGATGAAAAGGAACTTAATTTGATTTTAACAACTGGAGGAACAGGGTTTGCACCACGAGATGTCACTCCAGAGGTGAGATAGTCCTGGAATAAGAAAAATCTGCCCTTTGGTGTAGAACTGTATGAGTTTGGGGGAGGGGAGTGATATTTTTTTGAAATTCCCTCTGTAAATTTACTTTGCAGTATCTCTGGACAGGTCAAGTGATACACAACTTGGAAGCAGAAAAAGCAATAGGGAATATAGCACAAAAAGAATTACTGTGACCTTGGGTTCTGCCCCAAAATGATTTTCAAACTAAAATGTGGCATAGTATAATAGATTTCCAGTCCCATTACAAAACAAAATTCTAACATCTTTTTCTTGTAGTTTTCCTTAGCACTACAGTACAACACTGCTAAGCAAAAACTCATGTGGCTTTTGCTGTCTCCCGGACAAGGAAAACTGGGATAAGAGAGATCCCTTAATTCTCCCTTGCAGGCTCCCTGCATTGACAGCTACTGCATTATAGGTTAGAGTGTGAGAGGCAGATAATAGGGGGGAAAAATTCTGTACAAAGCTGCTGTTGCTTTGCTTGACACCACATTGCCAAAAAAAGCTAAACAGGCACAGAGATGGAGGTAGCCTGCACCAGTAAATGTTGCACAGGAAATCTGGTTACATTCCACTTATAAGGAGCTAAGGTAAGGAGAAAAAAAAAAGGAAACTTAACCTAATAACCTCATGGCTGTGAGCTGTAATATGAAATGACTGTGTGATTGCTGTTGAAGTATTTTGGTATTTATGGTTCCAAATAAGATTAATATGAACTTTTAAAATCACATAGGTTTTTTGTTTGCTTATGTTCGCTAAAGGGCAGAATTAAAATTGAGCGCCTGAAGTGTTTATTTCCATAATTTAACATATTTAGATTTCTCTTAAGTACTCATAAGTTTTCGGTTGCTTAGACTTTCAACTTAGAGTTGATTTGAGCTCATTATAACATGCCTACAATGCTTTTTACTTAAAAATGTTCCATCAACCCTGGCTGCAGTTTAACTTTTTTCCATTAGGAATCTAAAAATATTTTTTAATTTATTGTATAACATTTATGTAACTAAAAAAACATGTAAAGAAAATGCTCCTGTACATTACTTCTGATTTTTTAGATTATATACTAGAAGCCTTACGTGACTAAAACCTAAGGGTCTGTGTATCAGAAAATGGGAACAGTATAAGATGACCACAGTGTGCTAGCTAGTGAAACTGAATTTGCAGATGATTCACTGTGCTAAAGCAACACAAAAGTGAAAAGTGTGTTGGTTGAATTGGTCTCTTTCTTGCAAACTAACTTAATGGTATTGAAGGCTGTATTCCCAGCACTGTGTAAAAGGAGGGCTGAATTTCTGCTTCAGTTTTCCTGATTTATTACCTTTATGCAGCGTCGAGCCTAGGCAGTAGCGCCAGAGGAAGCATTGCAACCAGTGCCAAAAATTAGCCACAGATTCTCAAGCAGTATTTGGGACAAGAGATAAACAAATGAGAACTCTGCACATAAACACCTAGTATTTTCCTTACATTGCTTCATTGCTGTTACTCAAACTAATCATTTAAGATGTGGTGATGATTTGTTTGATTAGTTTTGATGTTACAGTGAGCCATTTTAAAAATCATCTGAGTTGTTGAAGTGTCTTTAGACTTGTACTGAAGAAAAAATGCATTTTTTTAAAACATAATAGATGTGCAAGACTTTGGTTGGTTATAACAGAATTAAGTGTTCTGACTGTCGAATTATTCCCATACTTAAAAAGAATTTATATAGGACAGTATTTACTCACTTTTCACTCATTTAAGTTGGATTAACTTGCAAGACTAAACTTAAATCCCAGTGGAGAGATTGAATCCCAGTTTTTGTTACAAAGTAGCAATGATAAGGTTTGTTCTTATGATAGGGTTTATTAGATCATTCATTCAAACAAATGTTTTTAAGGGAAGAAAATTAGTTTGCCAGTATGTGTCATAACAAAAACATATGAAGAAGCATAAACTTTGGCCCCATATTTTATGTCTTTTGGGTCAATGAGAGAACCAATTAAAAATGGAAAATTCATTATGTCAACATGAAATGTACAATAGCAAGCCTTCAGGAAAACTTGCATTGATGTAGGAGATGGTTTTAATCTCTTCCATGTATGGTTTTTGTCCAACATGCTCTCCTCTTATTACTGAACTGATAATGAAATGATGTGATCATGACATTGTGCTATTGAGCTGTCATCTTTAAGGCATGATTTTAAAACTGGTAATAATTGAATCTGATACTGGAAGACATTTTAATGTTTTTCCTGAGAGTAGGGAGAGTAGTCCCTCGGGTCATATTTCAGATGGAATGATTCAGTCCTGCTTCTCCTTAATCCTCCTGTACTTTCAATTACAAAACACATTTTTCTGCTTTCTTTTCTGAGCATAGATACATAATTGCTATTGTACTGTACAAGATAAAGCTAGTTTCTGAGAGTATTTACAGCCCAAAGAATTAATGTTAATTGAATTATGTAATTATTGATTAAATTGAAATTAAGTGCCTAGCATAAATTATCTATTAAAAATAACTTCTTGAAACTTCAGAAATTTATGATTAAGTTTAAAAAAGAAATTCCTCAGTTTCCCCACTCACTTTGCCCTTTGAACACTATATCGGAATCATACCAGGTTATTGCAGTTGTTTCTATGATGTGTAATGACTTTTTTTCTTATAATGGAATAGATGATTTTACGGTTATTCACAATATCTGATTTTCCTTACCTGTCTCTGGTCCCTAAATTTAGAGCCTCAGTCTAGTCAGTGGGTGGGGTGAAGCTTTCGAATTAGTTACTATGATTCACATTTTGAGGGGCAAGGATCAATTGAATTAAGCAGCGTGAATATCCTTCACCTTCTTGTCTATGTGACTAGAAGTGATGAAATGCATGTGGATATTTAAAACTCAAATTTCACCCAATGGATGGCTGAATTTGAAGGAAACTGTCTTGCAGATGTTATTAGTGAATGCTGCAATTCATCTATTATTGCAGTTGATGGTAGTTCGCATTTGGACTAAAAGCAAAGTGTAGGCTTAATTTTCTACATACAACCACTTATTTTTTTACCATCTTATTTTGCCTGTAATTTATGGGGGTGGTGTTTAAATCCATACTGGAAATGCTCATACAGTCTGCTTGTTGATTTAAAAAGTGTCTGTTGCTGGACAGAGATCAGGGCTTTACATATGGCCAAAGTTAAGTTATTTTGGGAACTCTTTTATATTTCCAGACGCAAACCTTTTTTCCGTGGAACTACAATACTTGAGTGGTAGACAGTTATGGTTCTTACAGAATGTTAATGATAATACGCGTTAGCTTTTGTGAAAATATTTAAATAATGTGGCAGCATTTTTATCTATCACTAGGTATCCTTTGATATAGAAATGTGTTCTATTGCTGTTGGTCAATACAAGGGAGAAGGGAAAAATGTCATGTATACAGGTGCTCTGCACAGTTATCTTCTGTCTTCTCTGTTTTTACATTTATTCTTATGCAAAATTGTGGATCCAAAAAATTCATTTGTCTGCCCCAACAGAGTCTTCTAGCTGTTTTCTTATCCCTAGTGTGGCTCACAAGTCTTGTTTGCCCCACCCCCCCC